CTTGAGGTGCCCAAGGAACAAAGCAAAATAAGGGGAAGGGAGGAATGCTAATACAGCCTCCCATACCATGGCTGAAAACCTACTAAGCACCACACCCACCAAGAGAACCTACTAAGCCCTTCCAAGTGCAAGCTGGTGACCAAGCCTTCCTCTTGTAGCCTTTGGTGGACATCTATGGTTTGGATGAGACACCCGACTACTCCAGTTGTCCTTAAACATCTGAGTCAGAATCTGTGTTATGGAAACAAATGGAGCTAGAGTTGAGCTAGGGAGAAAGGAGACAGATTCATAGGCTGTCTCCATTCTGTCCTACACTCCCAGGCCCTGATGATAATGCCTCGGGTGTGGACACAGCTAAGGACAGCTAAGAAACAAGACTGTTGAGTAATAATCAGAACTGGAGAGATTCTGAAGGGAAAAAAAATTTTTAAGAGACAGACATTTCAAAAACTACCAATCTCTGCAAACAGCACGTGTAGACACAAGTCACTTTGGCTCCGGTACGGCACCCCACCACAGCACCGCAGTAACAAACCACTGTTAGTGTCGTCTTTGAATGTGGAGAACACCAGCAGCCTATGTGTACATCTTAGGCCTCTATGCTCCACCACTAGGAGAAAAGAAAAGTGTTCTGATGTTACACACCCATACCTTGGAAACACACTTTACAGGAAGCACGCTATGATGCAGACTGAAGGTTCTAAGATCACCCACCCCCAGGGTGGGGAGAAGATATATTAGGCTTTGCTGTTCCCATGTTCTGTTTCCACTGAAGTCTAGAAATGAATTGGCTGAGAATTCTGTTAACTTAACTCGACATAAAACAGTCACCATGATTTGTCTTTGGTTTTATTAAATGGCTAAGACATTAAGGACACAGGTCTCCCGAACTCAGTCTTAAAGGATTCCCTTTCCAATGCAATAAAAATCTAAGAATTCTGCTTCTATATGCTTCATGGAGGACTGTTAAGGACATTCATGACGTAAAGGATATAGTTAAGACATGGCTAATTTTGTGACAAATAGGTTAGGCCACAATACCCAAGTATGTGGTCCAACACTACCCTTTCTGTGTGGGTATTTTCTAAATGAGATTAACACTTTAGTAAAGACTGAGACAAACAGTACACCCTTCCTCTCGCAGCTGGGCCTCATCTAGCCAGGTGATGGTCTGAATAGGAAGACTGACCTCCTTACAGGAAGAGGGTATCTCACAGAATAACTCAAGCTCAAACTGTAACCACTCTGCTGCAGCCCTACCCTGCAAGTGCTGGACTTGACACTTCCTCCATGCAGCCCTCTCTGCATACACACCATCAGTTAGGTTTTCGGAGAAAAGGGGATCTGATACACACACGGTGGTATAATCAATCTTTACCTATATTTCTGGTTTTCTGTCTTGAACGGGAAAGGATTACTCTTTCCTGGGAAAACTTAAACTATGGCCACACACCTTGCGTGGCTAATGGAAGTGGAAGGGAGTGCCATCAAGTCTAAGCAAAACTACAAGAGCTAGGGACGGTTCTTTATACTCCCCTGTGACCACAAGGAGGGATGGAGTTTTACCCATGGGCTCCTGTGAGGTACCGCTTGCTCCAGACCTTTAGGATTTGGAGACCGCCTATGACGGTGGGGAGGGGAAGCTGTTCTGCCCTGCCGTTCGCTCAACGGCTAGCTTTTCCTCTATTGCTGTAATTTCAATGGGGCTTCTGATACAAACACTGGTGATTTGGAATAACATATATAGTCTGTGGTAATAAACTTGTTTCTCTGAAGTTATTTTATGTAGGCTTTCTCCTTTACCCAATTAGATTTTGCCAGACACACCGCATTATTTCCATTGGAGGCTTGCAATAAATGGAGTCCACATGGACTTTTCCATTTCTTTTGTAAATCAGGCCTTGAAAATTATTCTATCTCACTTGTTGAAACGTCATATGATTTTTATAGTTCTAGAATATATCTACACTTTTGTCTGTTGTGTAGCTCTCAAACTACCACCAAGAAAATAAAATTCTTTAATAGATGCCGATGATGATATTAAAACTGGAAAACAAAACAAAACAGCATGACAATTCTGGCTTTTGCTAGGTAGATAAGACTGTATAAAAACAGGAAGTTAAACCAATAGGTCCAAGAGAAATCAACAGATAGATGGAAATAATCAAACTTCAAGTTTACATGAAATTGTAAGGTAAGAACACAGTTGAGATGATCAAATCCATTTATGAATTATCTTCAAATTTCTGGCTCATCCGAAAGACAGCATGACATACTTTATCCCATAAATAGCCACACCTGCAAGTGACCCCCCATTATCCACGTCTCATTTACTCTTGCATTCCACAGAAGGGAAACACTATAATAGTTTGTCCACACCTGCCATTCAATAGGTGCTGATTACCAACATCTTTCTTCCAATCTCCTCCCCTGATCACCTCTCCTAACTTTTCAAGAAGAAAGCAGGCAGAGAGGAACATAGCGGGCACCACTTGGGGCTATCTCCTGTCTCAGTACACGAGGGATACGTACTGTCCATCCTGCTGCTTTTTAGACAAGTGGACTTCAGAGGTAACAGCTGGTTGCTCAATGGAAACACTCATGGCCGCTCTGCCGCATATGGTAGAAGAGACAGCAGCTCCTGAGATGAAAACCATTGCTGGATGTTCACATCAGAACACAGCTAACCTCGTACAGAAGCCTGGTTCACTGGCGGTCGGGGACCACCTATCAGAATGGGATGGGTGCCTCTGAGCAGGACCCTCTTGAAAATCAGGGGAGAGAAATACTGCACTTCACTTACCTTTCACAAAGGGTGGTTTTGGGGCAGGAAAAACAAGCCAACCCCAGTAACTAGTGTAGACTGGTCAGGAGAACCCAGGCCCCAGCATGTGGAGACTTGCACAAGAGCAAGCCAGCACTCTGAGCACTGCTCTCTCAGAACAAGCCAGCACAAAGGACGACATGTCACTCGGCAGTGAGAGAACCCTGCAGACTGGATGCTTGGTCTGGAATACTGTCCCTCAAGAGTCACTGGGATTCTCAAAGAGAATTTTCCACAGAGCTTGTTTCTAATGAAGTAGACTATACCCTCTGGGGCGATAAGCCCCACACACAAGTCGATGCTGCTGTTTCCAGACCTTAAGGAAACCCCTTAAGCTTTGTTCTATTTGTCACATAATTAGGAACTCCTACCATGCATTACACATCGCCTCAAACAAGAAGCTCAAGATGCGAACCATCTCTGAATGCTGAGGGGAGAACATGAAAATCAGACCACATGCCCACCATCTGTATTTGTACTTGTCAACAGCTCTGTTTTGGGATAAACACGTTTGAAGTAAGAATCAATTCAGCTTGGAAGATTAGCCAAGGAATAGCTTACAGACCAAAACAAAATGTGAAGTCAGATAGTCCAGAAACCAAGCACAAGTTCTGTTTCCCACTAAACATTCTGTTTTGTCACAGCCCAAGAGAAAGATGGTAGCAACTAGGATTGGGGGCACAGGGATAAGGAAAATGTATTTACTCAAGCAAAATAATTTTCACCCCGCAACAACTGTCTTTTCTATAACCCAACTGAAAACCATTCACGAACCATGAGGAAACTAGAGTTAAGAAAAGGTAATTTTAGCATTTGCAATCTGTTTCAGTATTCTATCACATAAAGGTATGCTGGTCCAGGTGCATAATGGTCCTTTATAAAATGGTGGCACTACCCAGAGTCATTCTTGGCTAAACGCGGCTCTGTGGGTGAAAACACTACGGTAGGCCCACTAAGCTGGAAACGGCAGAGGGAAATGGAGACTTCCACACTGGAGCAGAGGACAGGGGAGAGGTGAGCCAAGCCAGGAGGGAAGCCACTCTGGAGGAGACAGCTGCTGGCGTGAGTGAAGGCACACAGTAACCTGGCAGCCTCGTACAAGCCACAAAACAAATGAGAACATATGTGCTCCACTCGGAGACATCCATTTATAAAGAACGAGTTGGTGATTTGTGCTTACATACTGGTCCCTTTTCAAGCCCCTGTCTGGAAGTGATCAATCACTGAAGCTTAGGATAAAGTGTTTTATTTTCAGTGTGCACACCATCAAACCTTACAAAGCATTTCTCCTCTTTCTTGAGTTATTAACTGTTTCTCGTTACTGTTTAAATGAGACAAATGTCATATACACCTCTCCAGAAAGCATCCCCTGCCCGCTAGCATCCAATCTACCCCCAGATCCTTCAACCAGGCAACTGTTAAAAAACACACCCCATCTCCCACAACAGGAATTCTGTTTAGACTGAAGGAGGGCTGAGGAAAGCCAAAACAATACCCATGGTCTTCCTGTGTCCATGCAACCAGTCTCTGGAGGGCAAGCCTGATCCACAGGAGTCGTGACCTGAAGACTCTGGCCGTGCCAGGCAACATATCACCAGAATACAACCCTTTCCCTAAGGCCACTTGCTAAGCAAGAGGCCGGAGAAAGTCCTTCGGAGCCACACCTCGGCACTGAAAACTGACTGAGTTTATGCACTGTGGGCTTCGCTCCACCCCCAGCACAGCCTGAGCGCTACACGGGAACACGGGGAGGTAGGAGCCTGGACAGAGCAGGATCTACAATGATGTCGGTGCTCTGAAAGGGAGCATGAACCGTAAGATGTCTAACTGCACAGGCGGGCTGGCAGGCCACCTTGAGGGTTCCATGCATGGCCAACCTTCATAATTTCCAAATCCAGAGATTTGCATTTTGCTGAGGAGGTTCCACCGCTAACTCTGTTTTCTAGCCAGGTGGCTAATCAACAGCTGAACTTCCAACCTCTTGTCACTTTATAGCCCGAGGTTGAAATTGTATGCCTTTCTAGAAGGTATCATCTACCTGCTTTCCATGGTGTGGATGGTAAGCAGAGAGGAAGAGACAAAGGAAGCCTCCAGAATGTCGTGATCACAGGTGCGCCATTCAGGTGAATACATAATCATTCAATGAAATGACACTGCTGGAGTCTTAGTAAAATAATCCAGGAGAAATGAATTGTTTTAATTGTAGCATTCTGTACAGACAGAAGTAAATGTAAACATGAAAAGTTAAGGATTCAATCTGTAATGTAACATCGCTATCTTATTTCAAGGTCAATTAAAGAGAACAGCAAAACACACCAACCACTGTGGAAACAGGCCAACTAAGACAGTAAAAGAACAAAAACCAAAACCAACACTTGATAATAAAACCCACGCACTCTGAAGAGCTGCTCCTGGTGTCTTCACATCCGTCTCTTCTGTGTACTTATGTATAGCACTGAAAAGACAAAGAGGGATTAGCAGTCACTCCCAAGCCACCCAGGCAGTTTTAAAGGCAAGTAAGGTCTGGCTGCCAGGCCTGCACACTTCAACGGGCTTCTATACCTTCTTCTATGGAGGATCATGATGAGTTGAGTCTATCACATGATTACAACTAGTCTTATGTTACTGACTTTACAAATTATGAACGGGAATTAAAAGTGAACGTGCCTGGAAGTTAAGAATGTTCTGTAATTAGCTGCATCAGAATTGAGCTTTGAGAAAAGTAACCCAGCCAAACCCTCTGGGTGAGCTCTCAGACTAAGAATGACTAGCACAGGCGGCTGGAGGGCCAGCTCATCCCTTACAAGCACTTGGAGATTTTACAGCGCACCAGAGCTGGGTCCCCAGCACCCAGAAAGCAGTTCACAGGCACCTGTACCTCGAGTTTCAGGGGGTCCAGAAGCCTCATCTGGCCTCAAGTACCAGGCACACATGTGATATGCTTACATGTATACAGATAACACATTAAAAATAGTGTCTCTGAAGAATTGTGTTGGGATTTTGGTGGAGATTGTATTATTTTTCCATATAAAGTTGAGTATTGTTCAACACCAATGCTGGTGGGAGTGCCAACTTGTACGACCACTTTAGAAATCAGTATGGCCGTTTCTCAGGAAAATGGAACTCAGTCTCTCTCAAGATCCTGCAATTCCACTCTTGGGCATACACCCAAAGAACACACATTCATACAACAAGGACATCTGTTCAACCATGTTCACAGCAGCATTGTTTGTAATAGCCAGAACCTGGAAGCAACCTAGATGCCCCTCAACCGAAGAGTGGATGGAAAAAAAAACAATGAAATCTTGAAATTTGCAAGCAAATGGATAGAACTGACTTCGATGATCCTGGTGGAGGGCCTCACTATCCTTGGGGGTGGGTGGGGGGGTTGTGGGGGAATGGGAGAATGAGAGGGAGAGGGAACTGGTATTAATATGTAAAATAAGATTGTTTCTAAAATAAAATTTAAAAAGTGTATCTCCCCAGTATAAACTATAGTTTGTTTACTTTTATAATTTCCAGAGGAGAAAAATAATGAGAAGGTATTTTTAAGATAGCAAAGTCCTTATTTTGAGTTTGATACAGTATCAACCTATCTGATCACTCCATAATCAACTTACCGAGTACAACAGAACGGGTGTTGCATGGATACGGGTTAAAGGAGGCCAAGCTGTAATCTCAGGTGTATTCTTTCCCACCCAACACATCCCCGATCCTGACAAGCTTGTTCTAAGTGAACAGTAGATATTTCAGTCAGAGAGCCCAGCACAGACCAATCAAGGGAACCCAGGTCCTCTTTGGAATAACGACAACTGTCACTAAGCACAACATGGAAAGCGTAGGGGATCAGATCATGAGAAGAGCTACTGCCGGGAAAAGCAGACAAATTGGATGGATGGCAATGTGGGAGTGTCTCCTGCTGTCGGCTATCCTGAGGTGAGACAAGAGCATAATATTTCCACATAAAAGGAGGAAGTCAAGCAAGAATAATATGAAAGGAGAAGAAATTCTACTGAAATGCAAGCAAGAGATGTGTATAAAAGTCAGGATTTTGTTTTTGAGTTGCAGATACATTTTAATATTGCTGAAGCTCAAAGCATTGTGCATTTTATATATTTTATTTTCCTTAAGTATTTTAGGTATGCTCCCAGCAAATAAGTTCTTATGTTCCCTTGTATTTCTTGCATGCTAACATGCCATGAGTGCTTTATGGAATGGTGAAATCTGTACTGTTCCCAGAGTACATTGACCTTATTTCAAGAGTCTAAATTTTAAAAGATTCTCATACTCAGATGTAAAGAAATCAATAAAAAAACAAACAAAACAAAAAAACAACTCCACCTAGGGATGGGACCCAAAAGTAGGCTAGCCAATTTGATGTGTATTCAAATATGGTTTTATTGACAATTTGCACTTTAAGTGAAGTGACGTAAAACAGCCACAGGAGGCCTGGCAGCACGCACCTGCAGACAGGGTGACCATCAGGGCCCTGCCTTCTGCTGCCACCTCTGCTGGACTCAACCCACAAATGGCACCTGAACGGTAACTAGAAAAAGGACAGGCTAAGTACTGAGTGGTGGGGAGTGGCTTGGGAGAATAGATGGCATCTAAGACAACAGGGTTGCCAGACAGTGGTGGCACTGGCCTTTAGTTCCCGCACTTGGGCGGAGGCGGAGGCAGGCGGATCTCTGTGAGTCTGAGGCCAGAGTGAGTTCCAGGAAGGCCAGGCTGCACAGAGAAACCCTGTTTTGAAAAACAAAACCAAACAAAAAGATAACAGGGTCCTGGTCAGTAAAGCCACATCCCTCAGCTCTTCATCAGTAGAGTGAGGAAAAGAGTTTCTACTTCAGTCCATAGCAAATTCTCTTTCCACACACAACTAGAACTGGTTTTCACAAAGGTAAAATACAAGTACAACAAACAAGCACACAAGCAGGAGTAAAAGGGAACTCAAACATCACCCAGAAACTCCCAGTGCTTTGCCACAGGAGTAAAGGCTCATCCTGAACACTACAGAGCGGGAAGCCGTTACCATTGTTTCCTCGGATGAACGCATCGCCGTACTTATTCTTCAGCTGCCCGTTTACGTACTCCTCCGTCTGTTCCAGCGCTATATTCATGTAGCCATCCAGGCAGGCCAGGACCCCTGGAGAAAAGTAAGAAAGAACTGAAAATTACAGGGTACATCTTAGAACGGACAATCACTTTATTCATTAGCCTTCAAACACATAGTATAAAAATTCACACTGTAAACAGAACTCAATAGACTCAAACACAAAAGGAGTCTTTACTCTGTGCCCATCTGAATGAAGGCTGGACGGGCATAGCATGAGAGGAGTCATTGCAGCCACAACTCCAAGACAGGCAGCCAACTGTCACGCCCCTCCTGGGATGCGTGATCCCCACAGCAACTTTGGAAGCCTTCACAAAAGTAGAAGCATTAGAATATTCCAACCCAAGTGTCCTTTGGAAGCTAGGGACAGACATAGCAACTACGCATGGACAAATGAGCCCCCAGCCAGCGACATTTGTGACTTTAGCCACTAAGTGAGACACGGAGCTGGCAGATTTATCTCTCTCTCCCACAACATCTCCTGCAGCAGATGAATGTGCCCTGGGTTAAGAGGAAGTCTCCACCATCTGTTAAGATAACAGACAGCAGGTGCCCCTGAAAGCCCAGCTCCAAGCTGCGACTCCAGCGAACAGCAGCTTGAGAACACAGAACAACACATTGCATTGCAACACGTTGCACTCTGTTCTGTCAGAGTCAGACTATTTTTAAAATCAAAACTAATAGAGAAAGACGGCTACAAACATTCCAGAGAGCTTTCAAGGAAAACAGTTCGGGTGACTCATTAATTGCGTGGAGATGGAATAAATTTCCAAAATCTGACCAGATGACGTTTTTCAAAAGACGTAGCCAGGAAGCTTCTAATTCTCAGCCTCTAATCTAAAGTAGTATTTGTAAGAATAAAAACACGCTACAGATTCAATTCAATTAAGTAAGTCAATGGCCCCATTTAAAATCTTCACTTCATTAATATGCTCCTCACTCTCCGCTTCTGCCCCATTATCCTCTAAACAGAGGTTTCTTTTCAAAACCGTGTGTGTGTGTAATCAGAGCACAAGACACTAGCGGAACAGAATTCAAACAGCCAGACTAGACTGTTGTCAACTATCAGCGACAATTACTTCCTAGTCAAAGAACGCTCAAGGCAGCGCTTTACAGTTTGCTCGTTCCCTACTATGGCACACAGACTAGGAGAGACTCTAGGATACGATATGGAATTAGCCAAAATGGCAACTCAAAATACAATGCCACTATTACTCACTGTTAGTAAAAATATCTGACCTCATAAAAAGCTTAGAAGACACAAAAGGTTTGGCTCGGCTGTAGGGCATGGATCTGCCTAGCATGTGGAGTGCCCATGCTGCAAAGACTAACACAAAGCAAAAACCTGCTCAGGGTGTTAAGTTGTAGTTCTTCCTCTTCTCCAAGATCAAGAGGACACATAACAAGCTAGAGAACTGTCACAGGACACTGGGTCCCTTCCCCTCCCTTCCCCTCCCTTCCCCTCCCTTCCCTCCCCTCCCTTCCCTTCCCTTCTCCTCGGGCTTTCACTATGGAGACCGACACACAGGGACCACCCCCCTCTGCTCCAAGCGCTGGGACTAATTAAAGGTGCGCACCCACATCCAGCCCCGTTCCTTTCTTGTTAGAACATTACGGGTTGTTGTAGTAAGGAAAAAAAGCGGCTGCACAGGTGGCCGTCCTGTTCTGTGGTCAGGGGACTGTCCCCACACAGGGGAACACTGCTTCCCATTACTTCTCCAGAAGGTGTAAACAACAAACTAAAACATGTATTATTACTTTTATGAACAGAAACACTTTCCCTAAAGAAAAAAGGACAAAAGGCTACGACACCTAACATCCTCTTCAAATGTGTCCCAAGTTTCAGGTGAAAACCGGGCAAGGCAGCACACACAGCCTTAATTCTAACCCTCAGCATGTGCAGCACGGATAATAAAAATCCAGAGACAGATACTGGGGGTCAAGCTCAAGACCAGAGAAGTTCTCACCTCTACAAGGTGGGGCCATCCTGTCCTCTGTGTGACTGCAGACTCAACACCCTGCACTCCTGTCTCCACTGGACTTACATTCCTCTCCAGTGCTGGGATTAAAGGCGTGCACCACCACCACCACCACCACCACCTAGCTTCCATGGCTGACTAATGTGGTTAGCTTTGCACTCTGATCTTCAGGCAAGCTTTATTTGTTAGATCATAAACAAAATATCACCACAGGATTGGGAGGAAGCCAAGGCAGAAAGAGAACTTGCCCCAAGGTGGCTGGATAGCATGGCAAGACCCTGACTCAAAAAGCAAGCGTACCATAAAAACACTGGCAATATTGACTACTACTGTCAAGGAACTAAGAAAAAAAGAAAGCGATTTCCCCCTATTTGTAAAGATTTCATCTTACTTTTAATGATGTGTGTGCAGGTACACACACAAGTATAGGTATCCTTGAAGGCCAGAGGTTTTGGATCTCCTGGAGCTGGAATTACAGGAGGCTGGGAGCTGCCCAATGTGGGCACGTGGAACTCCCCAGTGCTGGGACTCCAGCGGGTTACTAAATGTTTCTTTTAGTTTTATACATGTGTTTGCCTGTTTGTTCGTTGTCTGGTGGCCAAAGAGGTACTGGATCCCTTGAACTGGAGCTACAGAGGGTTGTGAGATGCCCGTGGGTGCTGGGAACTGAATCTGTGTCCTCTGCGAGAGCAGTCAGTGCTTTTAGTGCTGCAGCAGCTGTCCAGCCCCTCCAGTGATTTCTTAACAAAGTTTTCCCGTCAGGCTTGTGTACATCCTGGCTCCTCACTTGCTCGGTGAGGGTAACCATAAAATCTCAGTTTATGGGAAACAAAGTGCAATGTATTGAAGTCATTAACATGCTCGGTTACATGTAAATATGTGGACAAGGGAAAACCTTAAGGAAATTTAGGAAAGAAACAGCTATAAAACTTTGCTAATGAATGAGTTATCACTCTGTCAAACAGTTTAAGTAGTTTAGTACATTTTAATTCGAGAAGAGTAGAAATTTCATAATTTGTAAAACATAATCTGGTATTGTTCCACAGAACTTTTAAGCTGCTGTGACTGAAACCCAAGCTTTGTCATTGAGCTCCAACTCTATAAAACACCACATTCTCATTCAGTGACCTCTGCCTGGCTTTCAGTAGTCTTCATTGCCTTTTTGAGGGTTCTGTTTCTTTTTGTTTCACGACAGGGTCTTATGTGGCCCAGGCTTGCCTCAAAATCAGATGTAGCTGAAGCTATCCTCAAACTCCAGATCCTCCTGTCTCTTCCCCAGTTCTGGGATCCCAAGCACACACCACCACAGCCAGTCACAAAGCATTCTCTAAGAACAGAAACACATCATTGGATATATGTTATATGACTGGGATGGTCATACTGTCAAATATGCTGCCTAAATAACAGCTCGTCAACCTTGAACTCTTCTGCAAACACAATGCTGCTGAACCCAGGCACTCTTTGGTCCCCAGCTTTTCATAGCAAGCTGCCGCTGGCTCCTCAGTGAATGGAGGCAGCAGTGATCTCGGGACAGCCGGGGGATGGATTCAACACACACAGCGATGGCAGACTTTTCAATATAAAAGGAACCACCTCAGAAATCGAAGACAGGAAAACTGCCAGTGAACAACATCTGGTCTGTTGGGTACATTTAAGAGGTTAATAAAATAAGAAGTCACAGTTTCTCATTGCAGTTACAGTAGTTAGGATTAAACACTACCTCGATAATCCACTCCAGAGTTGAGTTTCACCACAACTGGCCGTCCGATGATCTGCTTTAAAAAGTCACTAGGGGTTTGTTTCCGCAGACTCATTGTTAACAACCCTGATCAGAGATAGGAAACAGCAGTAAATGTACAGGCTAAAGTTAATTATTCACCAAAAAATAAAATAAAGCCAAACAAAACTCTTGGGCCCTTAACATGTCCACAGGAGCTGGATCATCAAAGCACTTCGTATGACGTACTGCAGCACCGACAGTGACCTGTGTCCAGGCAGCCCATGGAGCTGACTACAGAGCAGTTATTCCCAATCACTTGTCCTGCTGTGTCACACACACGACACCCTTATAGCTGCCACCACCTCAGCCCAGTTAATAAACATTTGTTCTATGCAGACAGCTCTATTAACATCTATAAATACAACAATCTCTGTGAGAACCCTAGAAGGCATAATATTCCCATTTTACTCATGAAAACAGAATAGAAAGATTAAATAACTTCTGCCAAATTGTGGTGAAACAAAAATATGGTAGAATACTAAAGTTAAATCCAACTTAAAGTCCACATTATACAAAGTAGGCCCACTCATCAACAACTAACATCTAAACATGTCTCTGAAAAGTCATGAGTAAAAGCTAAAAAGTGAATATACACATACACACGCCACTTCCATGCACTGATTAAGTTAGCGCTGACAGCCAATGAGGCAGCTATTGGCGGGTGCTGGGGTGTGAAGTTCAGTCACAATTATGGTCAGAGCGCTCTAAGCAACAAGGGGAAAGTCTGAGAGTTCATACCTAAGAGTCTAAACAGAAATAGCACTGCATACCCAAATTAACTGCACCAGGCATGTCAAGTTCCATCAAGTCTTTCAATCTTTTTCCTGTTGTGCAATAGCTACCCCTCAAAAAGTATTTTAATAAATAAAGGAAAATACTAGCCACTCAAGCAGAGGTCAGAAACTGGAAATTGGTTTTGTTTTAGTGAAATTCAGCAGCAACTCTTATGTAGCTACCACACCTCATTGTACACTAGTAAGGATTTACCCCACCCCCCAATTCTACATTTTGGTTTTCAATCAAGATCATACATTCTTCCATAAATAGCACTGTTGATTTCCCTCTGAGTATATCCACCCAATGCTATGAAGATGCTCTCCGTGTCCATGCATGCGGGATTAGCCACTTGGTGAAGCTGTAATGCAAGGTGGCACACAGTTCATCAGCTCCACACAAGTGTACAAAATACAGCCAGACTTCTACTTCAGAGTCCAGAAGTTATGTTCTGTGTGTTATGGGGCACAGATAATATCAAAGGGACAAGAATTTAAGGAAAATAATTCTCTTACCCAAGAAGCTAAGTATTCAAGTTAAATAGAAGAAAATATAAATTTTAGAAATTATCACTTGAACCATCCACAGCTGCTATCCCCAAACACTAATAAAAAAAATCATCAACTGATTATTTTGCTCAGCAAATTTTAACATTTCCATTAAGCTCTCAGCTCATTTTCTTAACAAATATCTAAAATTACAACTGCTATTTAGCCAAGATGCTGGTCACACACCAATTTTATTTATGTTGTTTTGAGTTTAAAGAGAAAAATGGCAAAGTAAATACTGTAACAGATTCAGTACTTTTCATGAGTTTAGTAAAAACAAATCCTCCCATTCATCTCCAAGCCACATGCCTGTGTCTTGCACATGTGCTGTTTTAGAGCTAAAACTTCTAAGGACACCATCAACTCATCTCTCGAGTCTTGGGATTACTTGCTGTCACAGAGGCCAGTTCCCTCATGTACAACCTGAAATAAGAAAGCTATCAGTGTGCATTAAAAACGCAAACCTCACAGGGCTGAAAAGTGCTTGCTGTCTAAGCACAAGCACCCCCCTGAGCTTGGATCCGCAGCACCAGGTAAAGCTAGGTGCACTGAGACACATGGTCACCTCGGCACTAGGAGCAGAGACACGAGGCTCCCAGGGGTGAGCTGGCCAGCAAGTCTAGTCAAACAGTGAGCTCCAGGTTCACTGAGAGACCATGTGGAAAGCTTTGTGGAACTCATCAAAGCCAACTATGGCCACCACATGAGAATGTACGTGTACACTCACTCACACACACACACACACACACACACACACACACACACACACTTTTTGAAAACCTAGTTTTTGGTAAGCGCAGGGATTATTAATTTCACCAGTGCTAACAGCATTTACATTTCAGGATGAAAAGCTAGTGAAAGAAGAAAATAGAACTCTAGGGTTAACAGTGCTCACCGCTTTAAAACCTCAGATACAGCCAAGGGCTGTAACAGGTAAGATATGGCCTTGGAGTTTACTCTCCAGAAGGATAAACACACTCACACAGAGTTCAGGTAGAATTACATACAGAGGTCCACCAAGAGAAGCCTGAGCCCAGACCCAGCACATCGGAGGAAGCTTTCTGAACACGTGAGCAGAAACACAGCAAACAGGCCACCAGCAGCAAAGAGAGAAGCTCAGCAAAGGCACTGGCGTTCTGGGTTTGAAAGGAGAGCTGCTGGAGTGCACCACATCCACACTGGTTCTTGGGAAGAGAAGCACGAGTCTGGGTTAGCTTCCCCAGCTGGGGTCGGCTGGACCAGAATCAGGTCTGCCGTCTTTGTGATCCTAGACTCTCATGAACTGGCCGCTGGAGGACACCAGGGTCAGGAGAGGGCACAGAAAACCCTAGGCAGGGATCTGCTAGGGTCCCGCTTCCTTTTTCAGGCGGCAGAGCACGCAGCGTTGGTCAGACTCCTACATGCTTTGCTTCTTGTTTTCTCCATATGTGTCCCTATCTGCACCTTCTAAAAAGGAGTCTTTTCTCTAAAGACTTCACCGCATGAAGGGGGGCTAAAAGCAAGCCCCTCACGTGTTCCCTAGAGGACATTCTATTAGATGGCTCGAGGAGGTGCTTTTGAAGTTATTTGGAACAAGTATGGCCGCCTCAAACTCATCACCCAGGATGCATCACTCTTCATTGGGTTCCTTGTACTCCCTGGTACTTAATGACTTGCCCATAAATCCACTTTGTACAAGTAAATTGGTCTTGGCACCACAATTTTTCTCATCACTTGGCTCAAGTAATTTTAAGTTTTCATCTTTTAAATTGGATGAGGCAGAAGGAATAGTTCTGACAATTTTTGAAGCAAGAGATAAGACTCTTAAAGCATAAACACAAGAAAAGGACTTCCTTCTGGCAGGGTCACCTTGGTAAAACTTCTCCTTTCAAAATCAGATATACTGACCTTCTCTAGGACTCCAGTCCTTCCCCTGATTCCTATGCAGGCTTGTGGGTTTTTGTTTTGTTTTTTCAACATAGGGTTTCTCTGTATTGTTTTGGAGACTGTCCTGGAACTAGACGGGCTGGCCTGGAACTCACAGAGACCCACCTGCCTCTGCCTCCCGAGTGCTGGGATTAAAGGTGTGTGCCACTAACGCCCGGCTTGCAGGCTTGTTTTAAGTGACCTATTTTTAAAATTGGCACTCTGTTTCTGGTCAGAAGCCACCAAGAGGTCTAGTATGACAGCATCTGCTGTACAGTGACTTTTTTTTTAAGCTAACAATGGGTGAAGAAGCAGGGAAGGAGGTACTTATGTGTGTCATTTTTACTAACCCAATGATATGCTAAGATCCAGTCTCCTACAGAAATTTTTAAGCTTTAAGGGGACAGGTAGCCTTGGCACCTAAACAGACTAAGTCTATAGAAGAAGCATTCAAAGCCAGTGTCAAACAAAAGCCCTGTCCCAATCCCTCCTCACCAAAGGTCCTCCTCTAGCCCTGCTAATCACTAAGACCTTCACGAATGCCCAGTGACACAGGAAAGGAAGGCGGGACATCCACTCTACAGAGATGCCTGCTCAAACACAGGTTTCTGACGCTTACTCAGCCAAAAGGCTGTCCTTCGGCTTTTGTTTCCATTGCTTTTAGCCATTTGTTTTATTTAGTGGCGCAGGGGCAATAAGCATATGCCACAGTGTGCATTTGGATGCCAGAGGATAACTTTTGGAAATTTGTCCTCTCTTTACACTAAGGGGGGGGGGTCCAGGAATTGAGCTCAGGTTGCCAGGCTTGGCCATAAGTGCTGTGACATCAAGTTGCCTATGTTAATTCCTGAGAGCAAGCTGTCCTCAGCCAGAGATGATTTTTGTGTCCCACCCTCTAGGGACATTTGGAAATGTCTGTAGACATTATGTATTGTCATGACAGGAAAGTGGGAACTAGACTGTAGTGAAGAGAAGCCAAGGATATTCCTCAACAGTCTATAGTGTACAGCAGTGGTTCTCAACCCTCCTAATGCTGCGGCCCTTTAATACAGTTCCTCATGCTGTGGTGACTCCAACCATAAGATTATTTTCATTGCTACTTCATAAATGTAATTTTGCTGTTATGAATCATATGTAAGCACCTGACATGTGACCTCCACCAAAGGGTCTCTTAACCCCCCAACAGGGACTCAACCCACAGTTTGATAACCACTGGTGTTGCTCGTCCTTTACAACAAGGGGACTATGTGGCCCAACATGTCAACTGACAGAATGCTTGCCAAGAACCACCCTTCTTCAAACCTTATCTTCTGGTTTAAACAACAAGCAAGGCACTTTAGGATAATCAAGATGCAAATGAGAGCCAGATGATGAGTATAAACTAGTCACCCCCTTAGCTGGGATCAGCCCACATCTAGCAACATGAGGTTGCAACTACAGCTCCAATGGTTTTACCCGCCACAGAGCTGAAGGGCTTTCCCTTGTCATCCCTCCCCACACAACGCTCCAGTGCACCCCTGTTACACACGAGTAATCTAGAGGTGATGTGAGCAACGAGGGAAGACCGCACAGGTCACCTGCAAACACATACACAGAACTTTGAACACCCACGCACTCTTTGATACTGGGAGCTCTGCACCCAGCCCCTCTCAGATACCGTGGGACAACTGTATTACTTATCAGGAGTATTTCATCCCAACACACAGAGCCTGAAAACAACTATCAAAATCTTGAAGGGGCTGACATTCTAAATAATAAATTCCTAGTTCTGGACACAAAAGAAGTGACTTTTCTATTTTCCAGTCCTTCATTATAAAAGGAGAAAACAAGCCAGGGAACTAAAAATAAATAAATAAATGAATTTTAAACTCTACTAGGCCACCCTTCAGTGAGCGAGGACCTGATGCAGAAGTTAAGGGAACTCAGTTGGGAGGCAGGAAACCTGAGTTCTAATCTCCTCTGCTACCCATCCCACCTCTCACCCCAGGCTCATCTGCAAAATAAGGGAGTTATAGCTAGATGGTTACTGCCTGCCTCTTCCTGTTCCAGCATCTGGTTAAGTTGTGCAGGAATACCAACACACACACCTGCTTAAGTTGTGCAGGATTGAATACCAACACACACAGTCAATACCAAGTATCTCTCTCTCCCTGCCCCTCCCGCGAAGATTCGGCAGGAAAACCTTGACGGCAGAACGACAGGCACTACAATAAAAAATATCAATGCCTGAAGGAACCCCGGAACCACAACGGCTGGGAGACCCAGGGTTCAAGGCCAGACTGTGCCACACCGTGCACCCTTTAAACTAGCTCGGTGATGATTCCGAGGAGACGCTGTGCTACTGTTGGAAACACGGTGGGTGCCTTCATGGTTGGGGGGGGGGGGAAGAACCGGTGTCCCTCGCGGACGAGGTAAAATACTTACACTATAAAAAAGAACCAGCCCGGCCACGTGCAAGAGCATCTAACCTAGTAACCTCCCTTCTGAGGACCTGTCCAAGGAGACAGTGAGAGACACATCACAGGTCACACGGACGCTACGATGCAGCAATCGGAGAAACCCCTGGATAACTTACGGGGCCCGCGCAATGACAAAGCCGGGGGGCCCGCACGAAAAGAGTCTTAAGTTTACACCCTGCTACGCCTCTTTCACGTGAACGGAACCCTGGACGGGGCTGCAGACAGCAGCCGGAGCACAGCAGGCACACGGGCGTGCGGACGGACGCACGGACCGCCAGGCTCCTTTCGGGCGCGCACCAAGGGGGGCGGCGGGGGGGCGCGGGACGGACGCGCCTCCTGACCCCGGGCGGGCGCGCGCACGGCAGGGCGGCGCGGGAGCGCGAGGCCGCGTGGCCCGGGCCGCCTTCTCCGGGTCGCAGGCCCGGCCCGGGCTCCAGCCGCTCCCCCGCCCGGCCCCGGCCCTCCGCGGCCTAGGCCGACCGCTCCGGGCACCCGCCCGCCCCCATCGCCCCGCCCGGGTCGCGGGCTCACCTCGCAGCCGGATCCGGAGCCCTCACAGGCCAGGCCTCCGCGGACGCGCGCGGCGCAAACCGAAACCGCCCCCGGCAGCGCGCTTCCCTGTCTCGCCCAATCAGAGGCCTCCTGGCCTACGGCAGCCCGCGGGGGCCAAAAGGGTCAGACCGCGCCAGAACGCTCACTTCCCGGAACTGGTTAGTTAGGTGGCGAATTCGGCGCTCAGGGGTTGAAGTAAACGCCCCTGTTCTGATGTCCCCCCCTTTGCCAGAAAAGCGAATACAAGAGCAAGACAACCAAAAAAAAAAAAAAAAACTAGAAGTGACCTTTTGAGATTCCAGTACAGTAAAGAATACCTTAAAATCACGGGAAACAGAAACTTAACGATTAAAATAATAGGCTATTAAGTACCCCCAAATAGCCTTAAATAATTTAAAACAAATAAAAGTTAAAAGCCTCAAGCTCCCAACCGACTTCTGAATATTAATTAAATGTATGAAGTTTAAGTTACTGTTAGAGATTGTTTCCATAGCAATGTTGCTACAAAAAGTATAAATAATTTAAAGCAGCTCTGAATTACAATGGCGCCAATTGTAAGAAGAAAATACAAATTAGTTTAATTGGAAATTGCATGCAGACACCATTTAAGTACTGTGTGGGAACTTGGTTTGGGATGGCGTATGAATTCTTAGTGTATGCTGTCTATTTACGGGAGGAAAAGATTACAGGGAGACTTGATCCCTTTTTTTCCTACACCCATGTTCTCATTTATATTTTACATTTATATGTTAATTTCTCCTTTATATTGCATTTAGGATTTGTGTTTAATTCCGTTTCTGATGTTCAATCATCAACACAGTTATAAGACCTTCAGACAGCAGCTGCACGCCCTGTTAGGTCTGACAGGCCCTGAAATACAGGACTGTTGTTTCCCGAGACAGAAAGTGGTTCCTCCTTTCCTAAGAGCCTTAGTGAAGGGCGAAAGAAATAGATCTGTGACTGCTGTCGCAGACAGAGAATGACGGGGTGAGATTTGATAAGGAACAGCCCTATCTTTCTATCCCTCTGTAAAAACCTCAGCCAATGTCCAGACCACCAACTACAGACACCGATAAGACAGCATTTTAGGCTTTGGAATTGTAAATTACACAATTAACACAAGTAAAATCAAATAACTGTCTGCAGAGAAGAGACATGCTCTGTCCCTGAAATAGGCTGCTTTGTGGATCAAACTGGAAGCTGAGGGTATAGCTGGGACCTCTGGCACCATAATGATGGGCATAGTGGCGGACACCCACACAGTGCCTGCAGGAGGATCACAAACTCAAGCTCATCCGCGGCTACAAAGTGAGATCAGCTGGGCTATTTGAAACCTTGTTTCAAAAAAAAATTGTACCACGTTCCTCACTGATTGCTTTCATTGTTATATGTATGTTACATATGTAGACTGAGAAAGGTAGTAGACATAGATCCGTGGCTGCTTTTGCTTTGCCGCAGAGCCGGGATGCAGCCATTGAGCCTGGCTGGTAAGCATAAAGTGGGAAGAGTTTGGGGGGCCTGGCTCATCGGCAGGATAGTCGCCACTGTCTTCGAGCGCCCATCTCTGTAAACTGCCAAGGCAACAAATGGTTGGGCCAGCAAACTTGTAAGTAAGTGGTTATCCTAAGAAGCCTCTCAGCAGCTTGTAACTGGCCTTTACCAAAACACAGGCAGCCTCCACATTCCAAAGGAGCATCTTTACACACAAGGACAACATGTTCAAAGCTTTTTCCACATTCCAGCTCAGAATCCAGTCTTTAAATTCCCACCCATAAGTCTAACTTATCAGGGAGACTTGAACATCATAAAACTAAGTGGGCAAGCATAGTACTCTCTCAGGGTGGTTTCTTCTAGTTCATCCATTTGCTTGCAAATTTCAAGATTCCATTTTTTTCTACTGAGTAGTACTCCATTGTGTAAATGTACCACATTTTCTCCATCCATTCTTCAGTTGAGGGAATCTAGGTTCCTTACAAGCTCTATTACAAATAATGCTACTATGAACCTGGTTGAACAAATGTCCTTGTTGTATGAATGTGTCTTTTGGTATATGTCTAAGAACCACAATACTGATTTCCAAAGTGGCTGTATGAGTTTGCACTCCCACCAGCAGTGGAGGAGTATTCCCCTTTCTCCACATCCTCTCCAGCATAAACTGTCATTGGTGTTTTTGATTTTAGCCATTCTGATAGGAGTGAGATGGTATCTCAGAGTTGTTTTGATTTGCATTTCCCTGATGGCTAAGGATGATGAGCACTTTCTTATGTGTCTTTCAGCCATGTTGGATTCCTCTATTGAGAATTCTCTGTTTAGTTCTGTACCCCACTTTTTAATTGGATTGTTTGGTGTTTTAGTGACTAGCTTCTTGAGTTCTTTGTATATTTTGGAAATCAGCCCTCTGTCAGATGTGGGGTTAGTGAATATCTTTTCCCATTCTGTGGACTGCCTTTTTGTTTTGTTGACTGTGTCCTTTAGTGCTATGAACTTTCCTGTTAACACTGCTTCCAAGTGTCCCATAAGTTTGGATATGTTGTGTCTCTATTCTTGTTGAATTCTAGGAAGTCTTTCTTTTTTTTATTTCTTCCTTGGCCCAGGAATGCTACAATTGCGCGTTGTTCAATTTCCATGTGTTTGGAGGGTTTCTATAATTTGTGTTGCTGTTGAATTCTAACTTTAAACCACGATGATCTGATAAGATACAAGTGGTTATTCCAATTATTTGTACCTGTTGAGGTTTGCTATTTTGCTGAGTATGTGGTCGATTCTAGAGAAGGTACCATGTGGCGCTGAAGAAGAAGGTATATTCTTTTGTGTTTGGATGGAATGTTCTATAGATGTCTGTCAAACCTAATTGGATCATAACTTCTGTTAGTTCCTTTGTTTCTTTGTTAAGTTTCTGTCTGGTGGTCCTGGCTAGTGGTGAGAGTGGGGTATTGAAGTCTCCCACTATAACTGTGTGAGGTCTTATGTGTGATTTGAGTTTTAATGTTTCTTTTACGAATGTGGATGCCTTTGTAATTGGGGAATAGGTGTTCAGAATTGAGACTTCACTTGATGGATTTTTCCTATAATATGTATGAAATGATCTCCTTCATGTCTTTTGATTGATTTTAGTTTGAAGTCTAATTTGCTAGGTATTAGGATAGCTACACCAGCTTTTTTCTTGGGTTCATTTAATTGGAAAATCTTATCCCAACCCTTTAGGTGTGTTTCTTGTATGCGGCAGATAAATTGATTCTGCCTTCGTAACCATTCTGTTACCCTGTGTCTTTTTACAGGCAAGTTAAGACCATTAATAATGAGGGAAATTAAGGACCATTGAGTGTTAATTCTTGTTTGTTTTGGATTTGTTGTTGTTGTTGTTGGTATTATGTGTGTATTTACCCACTTTTTCTTTTGGCTTTTGGTAAAGTGGGATTATCTATTGCCTATGTTTTTGTGAGTGTAGTTATCTTCCTTAGGTTGGAGTTTTCCTTCCAGTACTTTCTGTAGGACTGGATTAGTGGATATGTATTGTTTAAATCTGGTTTTGTCGTATAGTATCTTGTTTTCTCCATCTATAGTGTTTGAAAGCTTTGCTGGCTATAGTAGTTTGGGCTGGCATCCATGGTCTATTAGTGTTTGTAGAACATCTATCCAGGACCTTCTGGCTTTCAGGGTTTCCATGGAGAAGTCAGGTGTAATTCTGATAGGTTTGTCTTTATATGTTACTTGACCTTTTTCCTTTGCTGCTTTTAATATTCTTTCTTTATTCTGTATATTTGGTGTTTTAATTATTATGTGATGAGGGAACTTTTTTGTGGTACACTCTATTTGGTTGTTCTGTAGGCTTCTTGTACTTTCATTGGCATGTCTTTCTTTAGGTTGGGAAAGTTTTCTTCTATGAGTTTGTTGAATATGTTTTTTGCACCTTTAAGCTTGGTTTCTTCACCTTCTTCTATACCTATTATTCTTAGGTTTGGCCTTTTCATGGTGTCCCATATTTCCTGGATATTTTGTGTTATGGATTTGTTGGACTTAAGATTTTCTTTGGTAGATGAATCTGTTTCTCCTAGTGTATCTTCAGTGCCTGAGATTCTCTCTTCCATCTATTGTATTCTGTTGGTTATTTCCTGATTATTTACCCATCTTTTCTAATTCCAGCCTTCCTTCAGATTGTGTTTTTTTTATTGTCTCTATTTCAGCTTTCAAACCTTGCACTGTTTAAATTGTTTCTTGCAATTTTTCGTTTGTCTTTTCTTCCACTTCTTTAAAGAATTTTCTCATTTCCTCATTTAGGGTCTCTATCATCTTCATGAAATTGTTTTTAAGGTTGTTCTCTTCTGCTTCATCTGTGTTGGGATGTTCAGGTCTTGCAGGTGTAGACTCCCTAGACTCTGGTGTTGAATGTGTTCTTTATTGTCATCTTTCCATCTCTTCTCCCAATGGGTGCAGGTGGGATCTCTTCCTGGTGGGTACTGGTCCAGTGTTCTCTTCCAGTGGGTGCAAGCAGGTCCAATCTTCTGATGGGTCTCACGGTGGGTGCAGGCTGGTCTGAGGCACTCCCTCTCCCAGTGGGTTGGAGCAGGACTTGCACAGCGATGTCAGCATACTTGTGGTTGTTTGGTTGAGTGGACCTGCCTGCAGTTCCCAGGCCAGGGCGAGTGTTACTTAATATATACATACACACACACACACACACACACACACACACACACACACACACATATATATATATATATGTTCTCGTGTCTG